CCCCCCCCACCCCCCCAACCTCGCTCCCTGCTTCTCCGTCTCCCTCTCTGCCTTCCACCTTGTGGGTCCGAACGGGCTGGACTCCCCGCGCCGCCCATCGCACTCAGGGACCATTTCTGTACTGAAACTCCGCTTTCAAACGTGTTCACCATCCATCGCTCCTTTCTGGGTTCCATCCCTATGCGAACTATTTACTATTCACGTTTTAAGGTTTGGGGGTTTTATTTTTTGGGGGGGGGGCGTGAGGCTAGAAGGCTGACCAGGTCTGGAGGAGACGGTGAGAGACTATCTGATTCAAAATATCATTGTGTTTCATGGACAGGGAGTGCGAGACCGACAGGAAAACATGACCGTTCACGTGTTTCTTAGTTTAAAGTATCATCACGAGATTGAAGACCTCGGGGGCTTCACACGCACAGGCTCGTTCCATCGATTCACTTATTTTTTAAAATATATCTTCATTGATTTCAGAGAGGAAGGGAGAGGGAGAAAAACATCCATGATGAGAGAGAATCATAGATCAGCTGCCTCCTGCACGCCCCACACTGGGAATCAAGCCCACAACCCAGGCCTGTGCCCTTGACCGGAATCGAACCCAGGACCCTTCAGTCCCCGGGCCAATGCGCTATCCACTGAGCCAAACTGGTTAGGGCTCCATCGATTCACTTTTAACTGCGCAGGAAAATCCCTCGTCGACTGAGATTGGGTCCCATTGGGTTAACCACCCAAGTTCGTGTGGACGTTTACGCATGTCACAGGGGGACCCCGGACGCGTAGGACCTGGCCGTGTCGAACCAGAGGTCTTCGACGGCTCTCCGGCCCATGGCGAACATCTGCTGGAGGTGCTTCCACCCCGTCTTCGCCGTGATCATGAGGTACTCGGCGTTCTCCGGGTGGAGCCGGCAGGAGTGTGCGGCCATGACCAGCGACTGGCAGAAACGCCCGCACACCAGCAGGAACAGGGCGCCCCGCTCCGCCGGCGTCAGCGGGATGACGCTCTCGAACCCGGCGAGGACGTGGCCGCCGACCCCCATCGGGTCCCGGCTCTCAATCATCATGTACATGATGGCGATCGCCACTTCAAACACGTAGTAGCCATAGCTCATGTCTTCAAAGTCCAAGATCCCAGACACGTGGAAGACGGCGTCCCCGGGGGCGGGCTCGCTGGACTCGACTAAAATGTTGTGGTCGTTGAGGTCGCCGTGATTGATACCTGTGAGGAGAGAGAAGCCAGCCGTGCGACAGCCATCGTCCAGTACCCACTTCCTTCTCTTCCCATTTCTCCGTCTCAGGCACGGCCATTCGGGTCATTTGACGAGCAGTCAGAGATTGGAAAGAAAAAAAAAAAGCCAAACCCTACCCTGGCTGGTGTAGCTCAGTGGTTAGAGCGCCAGTCCCCCCCCACCCCCACCCCCCATACCAAAGGGTCATGGGTTCGATTCCCAGTCATGGGCATGTACCTGGGTTCCAGATTTGCTCCCCACCCCGTGGGGGCGAGTATAGGAGACAACCAGTTGACGGGTGTTTCTCACATGCCTGTCTGTCTGGCTGTCTGTCTCTCTCTCTCCCCCTGCCTCCTTCCCTTCCACTCTCTCCGAAAATCAATGGAAAAAATATCCTCAGGTGAGGGTTAAAAAATAATAAATAAATAAGCCAAACCAAACTCTATTTTTCTTAAAGCAAAATAACTTCCTCTGAAAAGGACCAAAGCAGTTCATTTTGGTGGCGTTTCTGCCTTTGCTTCTCATCAGTACAAAGCCAGCAGATGGAGGATGTAGCCGCTGCAAACAATTAATTTTCACAAACGGGAGGAGTAAAGGGAAACGGAGAATGGCTCCAGCCAGGAATGTTAAAAATATACATGCCTTCAGACCATAAGCAGCAAAGGGTCCAAGGATGGGCCGGTTGTGTTATTTTAACCTCAGATTTCCAAAAAAATTTGTTCCGATGACAATTCGGTAAAGCTACGTTGTAACTCCACACTTTTCCTGATGATTTAAAATCTGACAATTTAAAATGCATTTTTATTGATTTCAGAGAGGAAGGGAGAGGGAGAGAGAAAGAGAACACCAATGATGAGAATCATGGATCGGCTGCCTCCTGCACGCCCCCCACTGGGAATGGAGCCCACAACCCGGGCCTGTGCCCTTGACCGGGAATCGAACCCTGACCTCCTGGTTCCGAGGTCGGCGCTCAACCACTGAGCCACGCCGGCCGGCCGGGCTGAAATTTGACAATTTAAATATCAAGACGAACACTCACACTCTCGGAAATGACTTAACTGGGGCGTGACTTCGTCCTTGAAGAGCTGGAGGACCTCTTCCACAATCTCCCGGTTCCGATCCGGGCCCAAGGCGCTCAGGTATTTCTCCAGAAGAGGGACGTTTCTCAGGTTCCAGATGAAGTCCTCCCGGCGAAGACATCTTAACTTCGGGTGACGGAACTCCTAAACCGAAAGCAAGAAACGCTCAGACTGTTGGCGGCCAGAGCAACCACGACG